ACCATCACTCTGCTAAACAAATAATTCCCTCAACACTGTCCAACTATTTACAAAGTCTGCACTACTATTACTATTAATCTTCTCATCACTCATTATCACCCATCTCCTCCCACTTGTGACTGTATGACTGTAACTTTGTCGCTTGTATCCATATATATTTATATTTACTGTTTCCTAGTATGATTTGATTGCTTATTTGTTCCTGTGACTATCATTAAGTGTCATACCTCATGACTCTTGACAAATGTATCTTTTCTTTTATGTACACCGGGAGCATTTGCACCAAGACACATTCCTCTTGTATCCAATCACACTTGGCCAATAAAGAATTGAATTGTGTTGTGTTGTGTTGTGTTGTGTATGGTATGGTATGGTATAGTATTGTATTGTATTGGATTCTATTCTATTCTATATCTTAGGATGAATTTCTTTTTCTGGAAATGATGAATGAAACCACATGAAGTGAAAACACATTAAAAGAAAAATGGAATAGGTAAATGATATGATATGAAACTGGATCAGAAAGCTGAAAATATAATTATGATTATGTTATGTATACTACAACCTGGAATCACATTGTTCACTCTAAGAGATGTTTAAAGAATAAAAATAAAAAAAATATGCAAAAATAAAATAAAATAAATGAGAGTCAGATGCCAAGCATCCGAACTTTGACCATGGGGATGCCGCAACTGCCATTAAAGAGTGGGAAAAAAACGGTCCAAAAGTCCCGAGCAATCACTAAACAAACCACTGTTAAGTCTAGGACTGCCAGTCTCCAAACTTTGATCACGTGACCACAAGGATGCTGTCGTAGTCGTAAGTGTGGGAAAAGGCTCCAAAGTCCCTTTTTTTTTTCAGTGCACTTGCAACTTCGGACCATCACCAAACGAATCACTGTTAAGTCGAGGATTGCCTACATCCAAATCAGGACCATGGAGATGCTGCCATTGTCATTTAAGTGTGGGAAAACGACCCTGAGTCCCCTTTTTTCCAGTGCCCTTAAAACTTCAAAGGGGTCACTAAACGAGGACCTAAATCGAGGACCGCCTGTAATTCCCCGCCCACTCTGAGGAACAAGAGCATCCCACGTGCGGCCACGCCCCCTCCCTCCTCCGCGCAGGCGCGTTGTTTCCTCACGCAAGAGCATCCCACGTGCGGCCACGCCCCCTCCCTCTGCGCAGGCGAGCCCAGTTGCCTCATGCCTCAACGTCTCTTCCGCCTGGCTACGCCTCCGCCTCCTCAGCTCACCTGTTCCGTCCCGGGCCCGGCGGCCCCAGCCCGCGGCCGCCGCGCCCAGGAGCGGCTCTGACTCTTCGCCGTCGCTTTCCTCCTCCTCACAGGCCGCCTCGAACAGTTCCTGGCCGGCGAGGAGGCGAACGGCGCCGCCAGGAGCCGTCGGCGCCACCCGTCCGGAAACCGCCACGGCCGGCGGTTCTGTCTCCAGCTGCAGGAGCTCCTCGTCGGCTTCTTCCTCCGCCTCCGCCTCCGGGGAAAGCACCGAGCCGGCCACCGCCATAGGGGCTCGCGGAGGCAACGGCCGCTCTCGGGTTCAAGCGCCGGATGGCTGAGGGCGCATGCGCCCCAGACTCGGAGAGGCGTGGGGGGCGGAGTCGCGCGCCTGCGCGTAGCGATATCCTGGCGCCTTGGGATAGCAGGGTCCTGGGCGGGGCCAAGCAAGGGGCGGGGCTTCGATGCCAGCTCGGCCCTCCGCCTTTTCCGGGCATCTATTCTAAAAGGAAAATGAATGAATTCGTGGGAACTTGCAGGAAAATGCGAGCCGTGTCAGAAAGGGGTTTTTTTTGCATTGCATTGAGCGGTCTGTCCGAAATGTTGGTCTGTATAAGGCAGGAGAACAATAGAATAGAACAGAATAGAATATATAGATATAGATATAGATATTAGAAAGCAAATATAAATATATTCATCTTCTTCTTCTTCTTCTTCTTCTTCTTTTTCTTCAGCGTTTGTCTCGCGCTCGGGCGAGGTCCGCTAATGTCCTTGAGTACTGCTTCCACACCTCTCTGTCTGCCACGTGTGTCGGGTCTGCCTTCGCGATCTCTAGATCGGCCTTGATCGTGTCCATCCAGCGTTGTTTAGGTCTACCACGCGGTCTCGCTCCTCTGACAGTCACCTTCATTACAGATTTGATGATGGATTCTTCCTTGGCGCGGCTCACGTGGCCGAACCATCGTAGCCGGGACTGCCTCATGACCGTGGGGATGGGCACGACGTTGAACCGTCTACGCACTTCTTCGTTCCTGACGCGATCGAGTAGGGTGAGGCCTACCGACCATCGGAGCATTCGCATCTCCATTATCTGGAGTCTGCTTTCGACTTCTTTGGTCGTCGGCCAGCACTCTGCGCCGTATATGGCCACGGGGCGCACCACAGAGTTATAGATTTTCGCCTTCAGGCGCATCGGCATCTTCTTGTCACAGAGGACGCCCGTGACGGACTTCCATTTGCCCCACGCTGCATTGATCCTGGCTGCCACCTCAGTTTGTAGTAGGCCTTCTTCCCCAAGAGTAGTTCCCAGGTACTTGAAGGTGGAGGCGCGCGGTAGTTCCTGCCCGTTCACGTGGATGGAGCCTGTCATTTCATTGTCAGTGGTCAGGTATTCGGACTTCTTTAGGTTCAGCCGGAGCCCGAACTGCTCGAGGCGGTCGTGCCACTGTTGGACTCGGTGCTCGAGTTCAGCCTTGCACAGGTTGGCCAGGAACACATCATCGGCGTAGAGCAGCGTCCATGGGGCGGGCGTGTACAGGTCGTGTGTAATTGTGTCCATCACCAGAATGAACAGCAGTGGTGAGAGAGCAGAGCCCTGGTGTACGCCGACGGTAATATTAAACTCCTCTGATATCCCAGCTGCCGCTTTTACACGGCTTTTGTGACATCTGTATAGGAGTTGGACCCATTGTACGAGCAGCTCAGGCACGCCGTGATCTCGCAGTGCGTACCAGATGAGATCGTGCGGGACTCGGTCGAAGGCCTTTTCCAAGTCTAGGAAGGCGGTGTGGAGCGGGATTTTCTTCTCTCTGTGAGCCTCCATCAGCATCCGCACACCAAAGATGGCGTCGGTGGTGCCGCAGTTCTTGATGAATCCAGCCTGGTTGACGCTGATGTCGACGATGTCCCGAATGCGCTTATCAAGGACGCGTTCAAAGATCTTCATAGTGTGTGACAGTAACCTGATATAAATATAAATATATTCATATATATATGAAATGCCACTCACACATCATCAAAATCTCCAGAGCTGTAAAGCCTACAAACTTGAGATTTGGCATGTCTGTTCCTCTTGGCTTCTAGCGGCTCATTAAGAAAGGGTTTTGTGAAATGACCATCAGAGCATTTAGAGTATTTCCTATATTATTATTATTATTAACAGGATCTGATGCTAAGGAGTTCTACTCCCCCTCCCTACCTGAAAAAAAGAAATCTCTTCCAGATGCAAAACACAAGCAGAGGAGAGGAGTTTCAGTTTCACAGCAGCACCAAGCAGCTTTAGTACAAAACAGTTGAGCTAAGCCACGCCCAGGCTTCTTGCTGTCTCCTTGCTCACCCAGTAAATACTCTTTCAGTTTCCAAACAGCCCTCCACTCTCTCACACACTGACAGGATACAAGCCAGATGAGTACTGATGGACGCTGGTAGGCAGAGGTAGAATTCCCTCCCCCCCCCTTATTTTCCTTCCCCAAAACTAAACCCAACCACATAGTTTCATAGCCAAGCACGGGTATTGAGCTAGTAGAAAATAGAATAGAAAATAGAGTAGAATAGAATTAGAATAGAATAGAAACTGAAAAAATAGATTAGAATAGAACAGAATAGTTTACAATTAGAATTAGAATACTTTATTGGCCAAGTGTGATTAGACACAATGAATTTGTCTTGGGTGCATAAGCTCCCCAGTGTACATACAACAATGATAGATCATTGTCATAATTGTAAAAACATAAAATATTAGATGCAACATGGAGACCAATCAACATAAATCATAGCAACAAAATAAGCAACTAAATAAACTTGGGCAGGGGGCTGTACCAGATGACCTACAAGGTCCCTTCCAACTCTGATTATCCGTTATCTTTGCCATTATGAATAAGGAAGTCTGTCAGCAGTCCTTGAATAAATGCACAAATCCCTCCTCTTTCCTTATCTACACTTTGAGTAAGTCAACACTGAAAATGTCACAGAGAGGAGGGGGGTCAGTCTGTTCCCCAAAGCACCTGAGGGCAGGAGAAGAAGCAAGGGATGGAAACTTATCAAGGAGAGAAGCTCTAAGCACTATAGAACAAGCAATATTTTCTGATAGAATTGTATGAAATAATGGAACCCATCAAGACTGGATACCCAGCCTGTAAATCATCCCCACTGGGTTCCAGCTTCTATGCCTTACAAAGGCAAGATGAAGCCCCTGATTTTTATTTTCAGTTTGCTTTCTTCTCCATATCTTCATGATGTCCAGCCCAAGAGAGAGCTCTGGTAACTTTAGAAGGCTACAGGTACCAATGCAGTGTGAATTGACTTTGGATCAAGGCAATCCAAGAGCATTCAGGGCAGCCCCGCTGTCTGAGGACAAAGGGCAAATGACAGGCAGATTACAACACCTTGTGCTGTCATTATGCAAAAGTCACAGCTGTTGCACAAGAACACGCAGGCCTAATACTAGCACTTGTAATTTGGGCATATGTGTAGTTTGACAATATTTTTTTAAAAAGGGGGCAGAAGAAAGCAAGCTTGACTCCCTTTTTTTAGAGGAATCCGCTGGTTCCTAGGGGCTTGCCACTGCCTTTTTATAGGATTTTTTCTTCCCACTTCCCAATTGGGCCAGCAGCCTGAGGATTGCCCGGTGGTCTCCTATCCCAGCGCTAAATCAAACTAAATTGGACCGCCGCTGAGCTTCCTCCTCCCCGCCCCTAGAGGGAGCGCGCCGCCTTCACGCTGCGTCGCGGAGTGGTTCGGGGCGGGGGAGGTTTTCCCGCTGGGGTCAACTGCGTCTGCGCGCTGGTCACGCCTCCCGCCGCTGCTCGCCCGTCGCCCGTCGCCTGTCATGAACTCCGAGAACTTCCAGGCCGGCGAGAGGCTGGTGAACGCGGCTTACGTGCGGCAGGGATCGCAAGGCCGCCGCGCCCACGAGCTGCGAGTGCGGACGCTGCTGGAACAGGTGCCGCTCGCTCCGGGGGGGGGGGGAGAGACAGGGAGGAGGCGGGGTTTCGGAGGAAGCCCCGCCCCCCGGGCTGATTAGGCACGCCTCCCCACTGAGAGGGCGGAGCTTGGATCCAAGCCACTGAGTTTGCTATAGCCGCAACTAGGTGGAAAACTCTCGCTTTTATGACGTGTGGACTTCAACTCCCAGAATTCCTCAGCCAGCATGTTTTCCCCCCCCCCCACCCGTTATAAAGGCGCCATAGTTTCCCATCCCTGCTGGCCCCGGAATCCTGGGAGTTGAAGTCCACATGTCATGAAAGGGGCCATAGCTCTTTCCCACCCCCACTGCCGGCTCCAGGAATTCTGGGAGTTGAAGTCCACAAGTTTAGCACCTAGTCTGGGCTGGTTGGGAGGCCACCAGGAGAGCCTCGGGATGTCTGCTGAATTTTTATTTTCACCTTTTTGTTTTCCAGAAACCCCTGGGGAGTAGCTCACAACCTTGAACTGGACAAACTATGGTTTAAGCTAAGATTATGAAATCCAAAAAAAATCCCAAATTGACTCGCTTTTGGCCTATTGAAAGGAAGGAAACCCCATTGTTAGGGACTGGCATAATAGATTTAATGTAGCAAATCCCAGGATGCTGGTTGTAACTTAGCTTTAAGTCTTATTTCAGCCAGTAAACGTGATTATATCTTAACAAAACAGATTCCCCCCCATCTTATAAATAAATAAAAAGAATGGGAAGCTTCAGCATTTTGCAATGACCAAGTATTGTTTTAAAATTAAAATCCCAACTACCATTAAAATTTAGATTTTTCCCATATTTTATTTTGGTTTATTAGCCATCAAGCCTTTATTGGTCTTTGAGACAGGAAGTTCAACAGTTAAAAAAAAAAACCCACACAGTTAACAAAATAACAGAGTTGGAAGAGACCCCCGAGGTCGTATAGTCCAACCCCCTGCTCAACTATTATTGCTTCTTCATGGACTTGTTCCCATGAACAAAGTTTGAAAACAGGGCAGTAAAATGATATACATTTATGATATATTGATTGATTGATGTTTTTAATGTAATAAAAGTTTAATAAAGTATAGTTTAAAAGGAAAAAAAGGAAAGTGAAGGAATTTAAGATAAGGAATTTATAGATTAAATGTATATATTTGCACAAATTATGTATATTTTTAAATATGCACAAAAGACAGAAATGTATGAGATTGATGTCATAGAATTGTTAATGTAATGATTATCTTTTTGTTTTTAAAAGACATAAAAGAGTAATAAAGTTTAGTAATAATGCAGATACAACAAGTGATAATACCAAACGGAGCAACCTGGAAAGGGATGTTAGGATCCTGGTCAGATGGAAGAAGACAAGATTGTGTATTTTTTGCATAGCTTCTTTATATTGTGTTATTATTATTGGTGTACTGTTGTTGTTTTCCCTGAAGGGCAAATGTCCTGAAGAAGGATGGGACGAAAGCACAATTGAACTCTTCCTTCACGAACTTGCAATTATGGATAGCAATAATTTCCTTGGTAATTGCGGTGTGGGTGAGCGAGAAGGAAGAGTCGCGTCCCAAATAGTGGCTCGGAGACATTACAGGTAAAAAGGTGGTTTGTTTTTGACCCGAGTTTTGTTTGGGCACTCCATTGGCTTATTCACACAGGATGCCAATAATAATAACTAGCTGGATACCCGTGCTTCGCTATGAAACTATGTGGTCGGGCTTAGTTTGGGGGGAGGAAAATAAGGAGGAAAAAATTGTGCCTCTGCCTACCAGCATCCATCAGTATTCATCTGGCTTGCGTCCTGTCAGTGTGTGAGAGAGTTTAGGGCTGTTTGGAAATTGAAATAGTATTTGCTGTGTGAGCAAGAAGGAGACAGCAAGGAGCCTGGACATAGCTTTGCTCAACTATTCTGTACTAAAGTTGCTTGGTGCTGCTGTGAAACTGGAACTGAAACTCCTCTCCTCTGCTTGTGTTTTGCATTTGGAAGAGTTTTCTTTTGCAGGTGGGGAGGGGGTGTAGAACTCCTTAGCATCAGAGCGTGTTAATACTAATAATAATATAGGAAATACTCTAAATGCTCTGATGGTCATTTTGAAAAATCCTTTCTTAGTGAGCCCCTAGAAGCCAAAAGGAACAGATGTGCCAAATTTCAAGTTTGTAGGCTTTACGCTTCTAGAGATTTTGTGATGGTGGGTAAGTGATATTTTACTTTTATAGAGAGAGATTCCTCTTCCTGTCTCAAGTCACTGTCTAGTTCCCACAGCCCAAATGAGAATTTTATCTAAGATGGATATAGAAGTGCTACAAATAAATAAATAAAAAATAAAATAAATAATAAAAATAATAAATACAATATAATTCCAATCTATTAGAACCAATTGTCGTACTTCTCTACCATTTCCCCCAAGAGGATCTTGTTCCTTCCTCAGCAAGATTTCACACCATCTGCTCCTTAGTCTTTCCAGTTTTTAAATTGGAAAAAAAATATTTTTTTCCTACTTTCAGCAATATTCTGTTTGATTTCCAGATTGATTCATGGAATCGGACGGTCCGGAGACATCGCGGCGGTCCAGCCCAAAGCGGCAGGCTCCAGTCTCTTGAACAAACTGACTAATTCAGTGGTCTTGGATATTTTAAAGCTTGCTGGTAAGTATCAAGTAAATCTTGGATCATATGCATATCCCCAGTGCTTTCGGAGCTTGCTGGTTTTACTGCAGACTTTTCATGACCCAGCTAGGTAACATCAGCAGGGATAGAAGGCAGTGGGGTTTTGCTCTCAGTTTATATTATTGTGTCTTGACCAGTCAGGGTGAGTGGGTGCATGGGGAATGTCTTGGAGGGATTTTTTGGGCTGGGTTGTTTACTGTTAGCTTTTTTGACAGTTGCTTGATTGAAGTATCGTTTACACATGTTGATTGTTGGTCTGTTGTTATTCTCGGAGTTAACCTATGCTGATCTGGGTTCTGGTGGGGAGGTTCTGGGGTCTGTTTGCTCTTTTTGGAGCTGATTGATTGTCTCTTGGGTCATACAATGTCTGCAAGGAAACCACCAAGCTCACCGAGCACCAAGGACCCCACAGTTCTCCTTCTCCTCCTCCCATTTCCTTCTAGCACTGATGATGTTACTTATTTGGGTCATGAAACGTCTGCAAGAAAACAACCAAACTCAGAGAGCACCAAGGATCCCATAGCCTTTTTCCTTCTTCTCCGCCTTCTCCACCTCTTCATCCTCCCACTCCTTCCTTATCCTTATCTCCTTCTCCTCCTCCTCCTTCTCTCCGCAAACCTCCCTCCTTTCTTGCACTGATTATGTTATCTAGTTCGGTAATGAAATGTCTGCAAGAAAACAAGCAGGCTCAGAGAGCACCAAGGACCCACTCCCCCAGTCCTCCTCTTCCTCCTCCTCCATCTCCTCCTCCACCTCTCTGCAAACCTCCTTCCCTTCTAGAACTGATGATGTTACCTACCTGGGTCATGCAATGTCTGCAAGAAAACCACCAAGCTCAGCGACAGCCAAGCTGCAAATCGTTTCCTTCGTTAAAAAGATCCCTCTCTTAGAAGTTTAAGTGCAAATCCTCCTTCCCTTACAGGGGTCCAGGCCACCAGTAGCTGCTTCGTGGTTCCCATGGCAACCGGCATGAGCCTCACTTTGTGTTTCTTAACGCTCCGGCACCAAAGACCAAAGGCCAGGTATATTCTCTGGCCTCGCATCGACCAGAAATCCTGCTTCAAATCCATGGTTACCGCAGGTACGTCTGATCCGCAGAGGCAGCAGTGGGCTGGTGTGGAGTATGCAATTTCAACATGCCTTGCATTTCATTTTATTGACTAACTGGATACCTGTGCTTCGCTACAAAACTATGTGGTCAGGCTTAGTTTTTGGGGAGGAAAATGAAGGGTGGAAAATTCTGCCTCTGCCTATCAGCATCCATCATTATTCATGTGGCTAGCTTCCTGTCAGTGTGTGAGAGAGTTGAGGGATGTTTGGAAACTGAAATAGTATTTGCTGTGTGAGCAAGGAGACAGCAAGGAGCCTGGGTGTGGTTTAGCTCAACTGTTCTGTACTAAAGCTGCTTGGTGCTGCTGTGAAACTGAAACTCCTCTCCTCTGCTTGTGTTTTGCATTTGGAAGAGATTTCCTTTCAGGTGGGGAGGAGGAGTAGAACTCCTTAGCATCAGAGCATGTTAATAATAATAATATAGGAAATACTCTAAATGCTCTGGTGGTCATTTTGAAAAATCCTTTCTTAGCGAGCACCTAGAAGCCAAGAGGAACATGCGTGCCAAATTTCATAGGCTTTACGGTTCTGGAGATTTTGTGATGATGATGCGTGAGGGGTCTTTCGCTTTTATGTATAGATAGGTTTTGGAAATGGGCATGGTAGAAATTTCATCCCCCTGCTTCAATTTCATCCCCCCGCCTCAGCTGGGGGGAACGGGCATAAAAATGGGGTCTGTCAGCTCAGGTTTTTGTTTTTGTAGATCGAGCGTCATTCTTTCGGGTGATTTTGGAGGGTTGCAGCAATGGCTGTTCTCTCCCCATCCTGTTTCTTTTGAGCACAGCCGGTCCTTGAGCGAGCTTACGACATTTGTGTCACAAAACAAGGCATCAGTCAAGGGCCCCATTGGAGCCCCATGGTCTTGCCCCCGTGGTTGTTAAGTGAAACACTGGCAGATGTTAACTTTGTAAAATGAATCTGGTTTTCTCCTTGACTTGGCTCATCGGGGGGGGGTCGCAAAAGGGGTCATTGCAGCAGTTATAAATATGAGTCAGGGGTCAAGCATCCAAATTTGAATCACATGTCACATGGATTTGTGTGTGTGTGTGTGTGTGTGTGTGTGTGTGTGTGTGTGTGTGTGTATGAAGAAAGAGCAGTCAACATTAAAGCTAAGCATTACACATATGGAAATTTTATTTTATATACAAAAAGCAGTCAACATTGAACTAAACTTTACACTAATCTTCCAATCCCACTGTTAACCATCTGCTATTATATTTAGCGCATAAAAAGTCCACAGACGGTTTCCATCTCGTATAAAGCTGTCTAGTCCATTATCTCTAAATCAAAGCAGTTTGTTCTGACCTAGGCTTCCCCAAAATCATGAAGCAGACTCCTCGTCCAGACAGAACCCCTTTTTATTAAGCTAATAATGTGAATTCCTCTCATTCACATCCAGCAAAGTCCCGGCCAACAGTCTTTCAAGATAGTTCACAGACCTTTGTCAGGTTTGGAGGGTTCCCAGGCCGATTTCTTTCAGACGCCACACTGCAGCAGACAATACTTGACAAGAATGGAAGAACAGATCTTCACCCAAATGAATTAATTGTCTCCCCACTCCCCTTTTGCTCCTCTTTTATTCCCTCTGAGAGGAGCCATTCACTGTCCACCTGTGGCTTTACTCCCAAGTCAACCCTTAACTGTTCCCTTCTTCTGGCAGCTCTGTGCATGCACACTCTGGGAACAGGCTCCAGCTGTTCTTCTTCCCCACTGATCTCCGACTCCGAAGGCAGCTGATAACTGTCGGACAGCCCTGGCTCCATCTCTGCCTCCGACCCAGAGCCCTCGTCAGAGCCTTTCCCCAGACTCCAAGACTGGCCCATGTCACACCCCAACCTCCTCACCGGCCGACCACAACACAGTTAATTTCACCATCTCTGCTAATTCGGTGAATTTCAAAATCCATTCTTCAAATCGTCGGCATCCCTTTTTCTTTCCAGGGTTTGGCAAGTACAATCCGTGCAAAGGAATAAGCACCCCCCAAATTGTTGTTTGTTTTGTTTTTTTCCAATTGGCTTGTCTGTCCTACCTCAAAAAAGAGAAGCTTCCGGTTTCGTGAATATTTTGCGCAGCTTAACTATTCTGCACAATCGTCGCTCTGTTTGCCCGTCGCATTTGCCCACACCTTCGTGAGACCTATTTGTAACCTATTTGTAACCGGACATTTCAAAACTGGCTACCGCTGTGCCCAAATCGAACCAACCAAACCAAAAAATGAAGTGGAAAGGAAAGAGGGGTTTGCAGGTGAAAAGAATTAAATTGCAGAAGGACCTTGGACGCCCATTCATTCATTCCTTCTGTTTGTGTTGTTGGCCGGGTTAGGTTTTGAGCCCGTGGTGATAGAAAATGTTTTAGAAGGAGACGAGCTACGAACTGATCTCCAGGCCGTGGAAGCTAAAATCCTGGATCTTGGGGCTGAGCACGTCCTCTGTGTTCACTCCACGACGTCCTGTTTTGCTCCAAGGGTCCCTGACAGGTAAATAAACCCCCGGGGAAAACGGTGGCGCGAAGAGTTTGAAGGACTCTTGTGTGCGTGATAAGATTTAGCAGAGTTTCACAGAAAGGAAGAAAATCTCTGGCCCTCCTTGGCTGCTCTCCAACAGATCCTAAAGGCTTGGAAAACAAGGATTGATTCAAATAAGAGTAGGACAGGATCAATCCATCAATCAGAATAGAGCCCTGCTTAAGCAGGAGACATTGCAGACAGGTGGCTCTTCAATCTCTTCTTAAAACCCTCCAGTGATGGAGCACCCACGATTTTTAGTGGCAAGTTGTTCCACTGATTGTTAGGAAGTTTCTCCTTAATTCCAGGTTGCTTCTCTCCTGTATTAGTCTCCATCGGTTGTTTCTTGTCCTGCCCTCAGATGCTTTGAAGAATAATTCTCTCTTCTTTGGGGCAGCCCCTGAGACACTGGAAGACTGCCATCAGGTCACCCCTAGTCCTTTTTTTCACTAGACTAGATATACCCAGTTCCCGCAACTGTTCTTCGTATGTTTTAGCCTCCAGACTTTTAATCATCAAGTTAATAAAACTTGGGATTGGATTCTACTCTATTCTACTCTACTCTACTCAAATTCTATTCTATTCTATTCTATTCTATTCTATTCTATTCTTTTCCTATTTCCTTTTCTATTTTATTCTTTTTCCTTATTCTATTCTATTCTATTAATTTTATTCTATTCAAATTCTATTCTATTCTTCATTCTATTCTATTAATTATTCAAATTCTATTCTATTCAAATTATATTCTATTTAAATTCTATTAATATTTTCTATTCAAATTCTGTTCTATTTAAATTCTATTCTATTAATATTTTCTATTCAAATTCTATTCTTCATTCTATTCTATTAATTATTCTATTCAAATTGCACTTAAATCTTTTCCCTTTTCTCTCTCCTTCACAGCTTAAAAATCTTAGTGAACAATATTATTGGTTTTTTTTAAATAGTTTCAATTCCAGGGTACCTTATTTGTTGCTTTTGCTGTTTGACCCGGTTAACCAAAACTTTCTCTTCTTATCTTCCTCCTGCACATTCTTTTCTGGTCGAGTTCTTCTTTGTGGTGGCCATTTCTGACCACCGCTGCAACCGCCTTCGGGAAAGGGAGTAATGGCCATCTGGGAAGGAGAGATGCGGCTCTCCTCAACCCTGCAGGCAGTCTCCCCCTTCTTCACCACCTCTACGGGGTGGCTTAGCCCCGAAACCAGCCGGCTCGGGGCGCTCCAGCGATGAGCATGGTTCGAAGCCTTGCAAAGACGAGGTTTCGGTCTGTCGCCAAAGAAGCTCAAACCGGAAGCCCTGTTCTATTCAAATTCTATTCTATTTAAATTCTATTCTATTCTATTCAAATTCTATTCTGTTCTTCATTCTATTCTATTAATTATTCTATTCTATTCAAATTCTATTCT